GAGCCCGAATCAACCACATTGACCCCAAGAAACTGCTGCGTGTCTGCAAGATCTGTAGCAAAATATGTAAGGAAAATGAGACTTATCGAGCAAAGTCGGACAGTTCTGGTTGGAGGGATGATGAAGACGGGAGATCCAGTGATGATGAGTAATCACAGACCAATCGTCATTAAAGAACTATACTCTAGGTTTAAACTAAAACTGTGTGACAGAGACTTTGTGCACACTTTATATGTCCCCTCTTTGGAGAAAATGTAGCACTAAAGAGCATGTCAGGTGAGATAACATGGAGAGCATCAGAATCCCTGTGAGCAGAAATATGTGTGAGTTCAATTTTCCTCATTAGGGAGGGAGAGGATGGACACCGGTCAGCGGTCACCAATATTGAATAGGGGGGATTACAAGGCCTGCAAAGACAAGAAAAGAGCTAAACAATTACAAAAATGTTGGACTCGTGGATCTGTAAAAAATAAAATGACTTTCTGCAAAAAGCTGCAGTTCATAAAGTATTCAAGAGGAGATCTACTGTATATAACCATATCCTTGTGGTCAAACTGTTGTTTTTTCTTTGTATGTACTGAAAAAAAGTCTAATTCATTATACTGTGATTTGAATCATTTGCTTTTTAGTTGATGTTTTTTTTTATGTTGTAAAACTGCTGCTACAACTTTGTTAATAAATAATACAATACATTTCAAGACTTTCTGTTTAGAGCTTTGTTAATTTCTGTATTTTAACTGAGAAAGAAAGTGTTGCTAATGATTAATCAATATTTGTCACCTCCTGGAACTTTCACCTTAATATGTTGGAGAGGTTTTGGTTCTGTTAAAGATGGGCTCTCTATGTCCACACCATGAAGCTTTCTCTCTCCGGTTCTTTTTCCTGAAAAGAGATCACTCGGACAAACTCTTTAAATAACACTTCGTAATTTATATGAATTAAATAACCAGGAGACATGACAACAGATTCTGATAGAAGTTGTAATTTTACTCAGATCAGAGTAAAATTCACTTCTTAGGAAGTGGCCCAGATTAAAACTTAAAGGGGCATTTTATTTATGTCCAGACTACCACATTATCACATCATTGCATCATAATCGTTTGCAGATCAGTAGACACCATGGCTCCAGCTTTATCAAAATATTACACTTCATTCTTGGCGGAAGGACACAGCTCTCATTCCATTTCCAAATCTTTGCCACGTACAGAATTAAGATTATAACTGTATATTTGGACAGAGGAACTGTCTTAACCAGATAAACTATTGTGGAAAACATCAGTTCTAACACGCAAAAGACAGCTAATATTAAGGGGTAATAAACTCACACATCATCAATGATAACTATCCTAACACTTCTCAACTGATCGCAGAGATGTTGTCTGGGGCTTTTTTTGCCCCCTGGGATGGTCAGCCATGGCTAACAGGGATACAGGTCCAACATAGAGTGGTTCATGCAGACAACAAGATCAAGTCTAGTTAAGTTGGCCCAGTATGGTGGATCTGGGGCTTCACCATGAATATATGCCTGCTCGTCAGCAAGCAGCACCATGCGGCAGTTAGAGGTGGATTCAACCTGATCCCCTGACACCTAAACTGGTTCAGAAGAAAATAACCAGAACTTGTGTGGGAAGTTTTGTAAATAGTTGGGCTATTAGTTAATGCTATTTTAGAAAAGGCCAGAAAAGGCCTTTGACTGACTCAAATGGAGTTATGTTAGTTGTCCTCTGTCCCCGCTTTTATTTTGTATAACTTTATAACCACAGCTAAAAAGACAATCATTAAAATTCGCTCAAATAATCATATCTCACTGTACGCAGACGATATTCTCATTTATACCATTAATCCAATGGAATCAAGAACATATCTTCTTAAGATTTTTTAACCATTTGGAAATATCTGTGGATATAGAGTGAACTGGGGTACGTCACCCTTTATGCCTTTGGTCTCAACAACAATTACAGCACAAGTGTAGGACATTCCAACCTTTTCTAGAATAAAATATTTAGGGGTTGTTTTTAATACTTCTCTCCATGCACTGCCTGAATGTAATTACAGAAAATAAGTTAGTGGCTGTAAACATCAGCTCCAAAGCTGAGGGTTCTTCCCTAATGTTCTTTTAGGATTGTGTGTCTCTAATCAAAATAAATGTATTGCCCAGTAAAAATCTTATTCATTTAACTATTCCTTACGTTTCCCCACACGATTGTCCTTAAAATCAAATGTTTATATAAAAAAGTATTAAAGAAATTCAGGGAGGACTTTAGTTCCTCCAAAATGTTGAATGGTATTCCTGGTGCTTTGTATTAAGAATTCCTTACTTAATGCTACAAAGTGATGGGTCAGGATGCATATTGAAGCTGAATTACAACAACCAATGCGAAACCACCTCTTCTATTTTCTAAATTACATTTAAACCCGTTATAAGTTTGTATGCACCCATTATGTCACATTTTGGAATCAAGTTAACAGATACATGGGATAAAGATTATTATCTAAAAAGACATATTTTCTATAATTATTGCCTTTTGATTATTAGCAAAATAATCTTGTTTGTCTTTTGGGAAAGCAAGGCGGTTCATATTTTTATGAATATTATTGGATAGCAGGGACTAAGAAAGTTCAATGACTTACAAAGAGGCTGTATTTTACCTTCCACATACTGTACAGCTGTTAAACACTAGGAGTTCTCATTGGCTACTTCAGGGTTGCATGTTAGAAAATCATCCTTATCACATTATTCTAAAGAAGGAAAGAAATTCTGAATAATCTAAAAATATATATACATAAATATAAGTCTCCTCATCAAAAAGATGCAAAATGAGCATTTCTGGAGAACAGAGCTGAAAGAACATTCAGTGTGTGATCGGGGTCGTATTTGGGTAATATCTCTTTCTTACAAAAATAAATTCCAACCATAAAATGATTCATTATGTCACTCATCAACTTAAGTAATATACCAGAAGATTTTTCCTAATGAAGCTGAAAGACAATCTATGTGATTATTGTTCCAGTAATACTATCGATACTTTTTTCATATAATGTGGCATCGTCCACATGGATCTCAGACCTGGAAAATGTTACAAGGATTTAGATAATATCTGTAAATTCATTATTATTGGTTATAGTTCTCATTTTCTGTTCTTGTTTTCCATATTTCCATACGGATTTTCCATATGGGTAAATTTCACACTCTTGTCATTGTCAGGTGTTTTCTATCTGATGGTCTCTTTTATCTTCTCCTGTTGATGGTTTTAGTTTATCTATTGGGATGTGGTTCTTGGTTCCTTTTGCATTATATTATGTTTGGTTTCTTTCATGTTTTCCTCTTAATCTGTCTCTGCCTATATGTGCAGGACAATCCGGTGAGAAAACCATTGTAAGGATGTCAAGAGAAAGGATGCTTACCTTCCAGAAAGATAACAATCTTAAAGACCTTTTGTTTCATGCCGAAGGAGAGTAATTCCAGGTATAGAGATTTATCCAAATATTTACTAAGTGTTGGAATGTTTTCCTCCTACTTTAACACCTTTTTTTCTACTTTGTGTCGATCTAGCATATAAAAGAACGATCTTATAATAAAACACTGGAGTGTGTGGTTTGAATTGGACAAAATTTAGAAAGGATATTGGCGCTGATAGCTGGCTTAATTGCTCGTTCAATTCACCTGTCAAATCTGCCCGGTTGCTCATTACCGTTCAACTGATCCACCTGTTTCCAGCTTGTATTTATGCTGCCTGTTTTCTGCCAGATTATTCGAGCTGTTTGTGAGATTAAGTCTAGTGATTCTGTTACATTTTGATTTTCTGATCCTGACCTGTTTCTGCTGTTGGACTTCAGAGTTTTGCTTTGCCCCTTTTTTACTCAGTTAGTCTGATCTGGACTGATTCCTGGATCTGTCTTCTGACCTCAGCTTGGATTCTCCTCTGGTTCTCCCTCAATCTCTGATCTTCTGGCCTGAAAATCTGCTTCTGCAAAGTCTCCGGTTTTGGATTTCCCCCACGGTAACTTCTGCTCCTCCATGTCTGCTGGCTCCTGCTCATCAGCCTGCCTAGCTCAACATTTGGAACTCTGGGGACGGCTCCCACCGCAAGCTGTGGAGAAGCCATCCGTCTGGATTCTACTCCTTCCTCTGCGCTCAGACTGAACTCAGTACCAGAGGATCCAGTTAACCTCCCCCATGCTGATGAGTTTGTGTGCTAATTTTATTAATAAACACTTGTTTTTATATATGCCTGTGCTGTCTGCTTGAGTTCCGGGTCCAACGTTCTGAGTTTCTGACATAAAAATTTGTGTACATTGTGAATTTTCAGCCTCTATTTATTTTTTCTGTAAAATAAGTTTAAAAATGATCGATATCTTTGTCCAAAATGGAAAAGTGAGTAATCCTGGAGCTAAACTAAACTTTTAAAGAGCTCAGGGCCATATGTGCATATCCTGATTAATGGGTCACATCTGGTGGAGATTGGGTCAGTCTGTCACTTTCTAAAACATACATGTAACTTGTAGATCAGATACTATAGAAGACTATCAATGCTACCTACTTGTATTATTTCATTCTGAAATAGAAATATTTTAAAAATATGTAACATAAGATATAAGAACAGAGAAGCACCATATCCAGAATAGGAAAATGAATCATCTCTCCAAAAGAATGTTTTGAAGCACAAACTTTATTAATAGAAACAGTGAAAAATGTATCAATAGAAACACACAAAACACAGTTTGAAAAGTGGATAACAATATTCAAATATGTAATAGGTGTTTTCAGACCTGCTTGTTTTAATTGAAAGCTCACACCACCCTTGGAGGAATTAAAAAGCCACAGACGGGGAAACAAGAACAACTGGTACTTTCCTGACATGTAAATGGGTTAAACAGCTGATTTAATCCTTGACGAAACGTGATTAAACATCTTCACACAGAAGCATCTCACGTGACACAGGAAGGAGGTAATTGGCTTTCTATAAAATGTTTCCTGCTTTTCTCGGTAGATATCTGTGCGGTTAATTCCTGGGAACAACCCGACAATTCTTTTTCTGCTGTTTTTTTTTTTTTTTTTTTCATATGGAAATAAACAATAACAAAGGGATGATCAAAACATTAATCAGATATTTGGTTGAGCTTGGTCAGCAGAAGGAGAAAGCTGAAACCAAGCAGTTTCAATCCGAAACTGGATTAGAGAATCCTCAGTCTCTTAATGTGTAGAAGAGCCAAGGTAATGAATGTGATTAGTGTGACTCATGATGCAAATATTCAATAAACCGATTCATGTCTTGGTTGGTTTTCTATCCGGTAAATAAAGTACGCGTTAATTTAGTCATTCACGGTATTTTGGGTGAATATCCTGCTGAAAAACCCCATGATGACATCATTTTCCTTTTAATGTCAGTGTCTACCAGAAAGTCACCAAAACACCAAAAACCTCCTCAGAAGTATTAAAACTCCTAAATGATCAATTTAAAGTCTCAGCAGTGTTGATTAAACCCCACATGTTTACATTTGTGATGATAGGGGAGTAAAATTTCCTATCCTTGATAGATGTTGTCTTATAGTGGCACATCATAACCTACTTTGTTGCAGTTCTCAAGCAGTAAGCTTT